GACTGTTGTTCTTCTCGGTCCTTGGCTTGAGTTCAGAGTTAATTTAAAAAGTATTTTTGACGCTAGGACATAGTTATTACCGTATCCGTAAAATGTTACCCTAATTGGAAATAGATACAAAGTGGTTCCTGAAACCTGTGAAAGTCTTCTGTAGTAACTGTGAACTGAAATGCGACGTGCTTTGCTGGTGCTAGAAATACCTAGACCCGTTCAGAAATGAAGGTGAACGAGCAGGCAAGGAGGTCAATTGCAGGAATGGGTTTCTGTTCCGAAGTGAGATCGGGGATCGCTGAGTCGCATGATATGATGGGATCGGGAACCTCGTGCGAGATGAGCCGAGTGGTGGCGTGCTGATTAGAGGGTCCGGCGCGTGGTCGCGGCGCGCGGCGGAAAGGACGTTTAGTGGATCAGCTGGCCCCACCGGGCCGCCTCACCCCATCGCGCCACGCTCCTGCAGGGTTCGGCTAGATTTCATCAGGCTGGTCATTGTCGCTGCCCCTTTGTGCTGGGCCCGCCCGCCTCCCCCCTATCTACTGATGCAGCGGAGCCGTCTCTCCTTCCTTGTGCGACGCCGTAACTGCTACACCACCGAGAACGACCATAGAATAGAACTTCTGCTTCTCTCCGCTCCACAGATGTCATAATTATTCGTTTTATGGCCTGCTGTCCCCTGCTCAATCTTGATGCGTGTATTATTTTTACCCTGGTTTTCAAGCAGGCAAATAAATATTTGAGCCAAGGTGCACGTCAACCCTCTCCTGGTAGCACTACTCTATACTGTTAAAAAGTTACTGCACTTTTAATACTTTTTGCCACTTAAACGTTTAAGCTGGCGGGTCCTGTAATATTTGTTTCCATGTTAGCCATCACATAACAGCTGCAAGTCTAAAAATTACAATAAAACTATATAAATGATTTTCGTACGAGCTTTTCAGGCATTTGTTCACAGGTTTCGCAACCGCATTTTACAATTTAAGATATCAATTAACATTACTGATTCAAAATGGCACGTTTAAGTTGGGTTGTTACGTAACTAGCAGGTACAGTAGAAAATACTGTACTTTCTCTCACAGTCCGTTGTGCTTCCAAGATGTGTTCGACGTTGGAGCTGCTTCAGTGGTCCGGCTCTCTTCTAATTGGTACAAACTGTAGAGGTACTCGGGACAACCTGTTTGCATGCATTCCTCTGCGCAAACTCCGCGATGCTGACCATTATGTATTCCTCAAGTGAGAGCGAGCGCCCGTGGGTCGCAGGGTAGGCCACCCGGTACCCCAAGTGCTGCCTATCCGACAGGCACGCTATTAATCTCGATTCAAAATATGGAGATGAATTTGACCGATAAGACTCTTTCTTTGACCCCCGTTCTAAAGTTTTAAAAATGTTTTAGCAATACTTAATTTTCTTAGTCTACATGGTTCAGTTTTTTTTTGTCTACGGGGCGGGGCAGATTCATTTCTGTTTTCTGACAGTTTTATAAGTACATTTTTTTGAGAAGTTTTCGACATTTTTTGAAATGTTGTGCCTTCAAATTGACACAAACTGCGCCGATTTTTGTTTTATTAAGAGAAATGCAGTGTTTTAACGTTGTTTTGTTTTGCGCTGCGCAGGTGCCGAACCACTCGGTGACAACGACCCCCACCAACTGCACGGGCACGTCGTCGCTGACGACTCGGTGTGGCGCCGTGTCGCTGCTCGACATGGAGGTGCAGGGCGGCTCGTTTCACCTCGGCTCGCTGCGCATCGAGTGCGCGGCGCACGTCTGGACGCTGTACCACGCTGCCGTGCACCGGGATGTGGGCGAGGAGAAGCCTCGCCTCGGCGCCTCCGTCCTCGGCAACCGGGACTCGGCAGGCAAGTCTTTTGGACAAGTGGAGCTATTGCTTTATTGCGTGTCGCACTAGCAGCAGGTGATGGCCGCAGCCGCCCTCTTTGTGCTGCAATGCTTTTCCTCGCCCTGTTTAGCTTTGCAAGCTGCATGGCCCGCTTTTCCTCTTTCACCTCCCCCGTGCAGTGGAACATGGCTCGCGCGCGGCAACTCTGTTTGGACTGCTGCGGCCTGGCTGAGCGCGACTTGTGAAGCTGTGTTTGTCTTGCACCGCAGACACACACACACACACACACACACACACACACACACACACACACACACACACACACAGAGAGAGAGAGAGAGAGAGAGAGAGACTGGACTGGTGCCCCGTGTGCTCCGCTCAAACCTCCTCTGCCGGCGCTCTGCCCTGCCGTGGCTGCTCATGCACCCGTCAGCGGTGCTATACTTTCTTGAAACCTCCACCTCTCGCCTTCCCATGGAGATTCCGGGAAATGAAGTCAGGGCAGGCGAATCCTGTCCCCGCACCCCTCGCACGCGTGGAGGAACCCTCGATCCCACCGAGGATTCTCCTGGTGCCTGCCTCTGTCCTTGCCACGCTGACTTTGCACACTAGCGTGCGCGCGTCTACACGACACACGCACGCACATGTTTATAACTTATTTACACATATATAAGCACTATGTTTGCGTTGCCTTTTTACCTACTCAATGATGAACCAGTCACATTGGAAGGCCAAGGTTATTTAAAGAAGGTTGTCGCGTTTTATTATTATTATTTGCTCTTTTGAGTAAGCCTCGGGAAAAGTCTGCCAGCCGAATGCGTTCGAATTTCCAAGATACATGATTTCCTTCCCAGCCGTTGCCAAAGGGAGGACAAGCGCACAAATTGTGATCGGGGCGCCGCGTCCCGTTGCTTCCCTTTCTTCATTTTGCTTATTCGAACACGCAGTTTTATTGCTCTCACGCACAAAAAAGTTGGGGAGAAAGCGTAAGATCAATTCGCTGAAGATTTTTTTCTATTCCTGCCCCTTTCCTCTTATTTCTTTTCTCACTTGCTTCGTTTTTTCTATCTCAAGGGCGAGACGAGGAGGTGGTAGGGGTGAAGGAGGAAATGGAAAAGGTCATATCAAATTACCAGGCGTTTCGCCACCCAACGTGTGCGGTGAGACTGACTGTCTAGCTGCCGGGCTCCGTAAACAGAAAAATGTAAGAGCAATCTTTACCTCGCCAACCGCACCCTCTTCTGTCTCTCACTCTCTTCACCCTGCGGCAACCGGCGGGCACGCCGCTGCTGGGCACTCAGCATTAGTTTTTCAACAAAAAAAGGGAGGAGGGCTTTTCCGCAATCCCCACCACTCGAAACTTTATATTCCTAAAAGGATGTTGCAGCTGCGTCTGTCAGGAATAAAACGGGAGCCATTCGCCAAAATAATCTCGAGTGATGAGCGACTTGACCTGAACCATTACAACATCTTCTCGGACCCGCTGTATCTCTACTAATCTTTTGCTTCTGGCTTAGGCAAGCCCCCCCCCCCTCTCCCCTAACCCGCCCAGCTCGCCACTCCTCCCTTCTACGTTTAGCTCGCCACCCTCACCCCTCCCCCTTTCTGCTCTCGTTCCCTCTCTTTCTCAGTAAAAGTTGTTCTCTCCTCAAACTGATGACCTGTGACGCGTGCCTCGCCATCGCCAGCGAGCAAGCTTCTTTGCTCCAGCCTGCTTCT